TCTCTCTCTCTCTCTCTCTCTCTCTCTCTCTCTCTCTCTCTCTCCACCACCACCACCACCAAACAAACACACAAGAAATAAAAAACTAAAAAAAACAGGCAGAAATATGAACATCTAACCAAATTCAAAGTGAACAGAACCGAATAGAAAGATCTAGTATTAAAAAGTTCTGAACCTTCTAATGAATCCTCTAGGCATAAAACCCAAATGCAATAAATCAACATTGTTCTCCATTAGTCAACCAACCTTCTTTTTTTTCCTGGAGGAAGTTGACTTTTGTATTGATTGTATAGATAATTACTAACAAAAATTAGGCAATTCTCAAAACAGGGTGCCCTATACTGGAAGCCTTGAGGGTCCAAGAATCTTTGCAATAGATCCAAAAATGAGGTGAGCACTAAGGGGGTCCAAATTCCCCTAGGGATAGTTGAGACTTGCTCCCTCCCTTGCTAATGCATTTGCCGCAGCGTTACAGTTCCTATGAGTGTGTCTCCAAGAGACTTGGATACTGCTGCAAATGTGGCCAATTTCAACAAAAATGTTATCTGGTCTCCAAGGGCAGAGGGCATTGCCAGAAGCCCAAGCGCTAGTGTTGCTGGAATATCCTCTACCTACACCTTTCTGCTCCAAAGATGATTAAATCTTCTGAGTCCTCTGAGTAGAGACTTGGCCTCAGCGAATGTGGAGTCCTTGACTCTGATAGGCAGAGCATAAGAAAGGAGGCTCAGGGCTTCAAAATTCCTAAACAGGCATCCAATGGCTGAGGAGCCCTGGTTGCCTAGAGAGCAGCTATCAGATGGCCCCAGGTTCCGGTGTCCTTCATAAAGAAGCTCGAGGAATCCTGTGGGCACTTAGGTGCAGCAATGCTTGCCAATTTTGGTGAAGATCCGAAAAGGAGAAGATGGAGAAACTTGGGAGGTTTAGGGCTCAGAATGTGACAAGTGACCTCCTTTTTTCAATAAGAGCTGAGGTAGAGGCTCTCTCCTCACTAAAGATCCTATTATTCTTCTCAATTCAAATGGTCCAAAGAGTGGCTGAGATGGAAGCACTCCATAGAAGATTTCCTGAATTTTTCCAAGGAGTTCTAAGGCATAAGGAGAAGAGGTGAGGGATCAATTGGGGAATGAGCCACAGCCACCTGAATAGAAGAAGAAGGTCGGTTCAAAGGGCCAAGGCAACCTCACAATTTAGAAATAGATGTTGATTGGTTTCTTCAGCATTGAGGCACATGGTGCACCTGTTAGGAAAATGTATACCCCTTTGCTGTAGTTGATCGAGTGTCAAAGCCCTTTCATAGAGTGCTATCCAAGTAATAAGCTGGATTTTGAGGGCAAAAAGGAGCACCAAGCCATGGTGGCTATAGAGGGAAAGGCTGAGAGGGGAGGAGAAGGCAGGGACTATAAGCTTCAGTAAAATGAAGCAACTGTGAATAAACCTGATGGAGAGGGCGATCAGACAATCTTGTCATTGCATGTGGGAGAACAAATATCGAATCGGGCAAGACCGAGAGATTAAAAAACTGGTGAAGCTTGTGGTCAACTAAGAGTCTCTTGAAATTGTGGTTCCAAGATCTCGCATTAGGTGGACCAGTAATGCTTTCTGCCATCGAAGAGGAAGGGTTATGGGTCAGACAAAAGAAACTAGCAAGGGAGTAGTAAAGCGGGTGACGAGGAGGTGAACAAGGAATCGAGTGTCATCGTGTCTCTGAGGTCGGTTCGAGTACAGTAGTTTGAAAGCAAGCTGACTGAAACAAGTAATTGATTCAATTCTCGCTTCATTGTCAGAGGTAAGTGAGGGAGGAAGCGCGGCAAGTTCTAGCCTCTCTTTCCTTGAAAAGAGGCTGAACGACGCCCGCAAGTATTTGATTTTAGGGAGAGACCATCCAGTACCTTCACTGAGGTTCAGCCAGCGAGCCTCTTGATCTGCCACAAAGTTGTGTGTAGCCCCAAGGTCAATCATAGCCTCAGTAGGTTTTCAATTGATAGACACTTCTACATACATATGCTCTCATGCTTGGGGCTTGACTTTCTTCACTTGCCGCTTCAATGAGCAGCCTTAGAGCCCTCATGAGTTTTTCCAGTCTAGCGACTACGACCATAAAGAAAAAGGACATAAAGAAAAGGGAAATACTGGAAATTGTGGTCTTGATAAGGGTTGCTTTGCAGCCTGGTGAAAGGACTCTCCCTTTTCATGAAGCCAGGTGCCACTCGACTTTGTCTATAACCAGGCTC